AATGACTGTCTCTTATACACAGATAGAGAGAGAGAGAGAGAGAGAGAGAGAGAGAGAGAGAGAGAGAGAGAGAGAGAGAGGTTAACTGTATCGAGTACTAGAAGGTGGGTACCCGTGATTGAAGGTTGTCTATCGCAGATCCCAGGCGGTTATGAGGGAGGAGACAGACGGTTGCAGTTGCAGTTGCAGTTGCAGTTGTAGTTGCACTCCACGGTCTTTCTGTACGTAGAGAAGGTTAGTTGGAAATTTTAAGGAGAGAGCAACGAACGAACGGACGACCATGATTGTGATGCTTTTATAATGTGGAATAAATGTGGTGTCTTAAAAAAAAAAAAAAAAAAAAAAAAAAACGGACAACGATTGTGGTGATGTTCAGAGTAAGGCCTTGCTTCAAGTTGCTTGCTTTGCTTTGCTTTGCTTTGCTTCGCTTTGCTTCTCGAAGAAACCGCTCCTTTTCTCTTCTTCTTGCGTTTCTCATTTTGTATCTCCTCCCTATCGCTTGCATTTACTTGTTCTCCCAATACTACCTACTACTCGTGTTCCCCCCCCGCCTCCTTCTCCCCTTCCCCTTCTCCTCCTCCTCCTCCCCCTCCTCCTCCTCCATGCCCGTTGATACAAGTCTTGGAACGCAGCCAAGCGAATCGCGGCCGCGGGGAGTGTGCGGGTTTACGAGCTGTTACGCCTGTGCAGGTGCGGAGATGCATGTATCTGGTCGACAACGCGTCCAAATGCATGTAGCGGAGCGAGGCCCATAGACCCTTACCGATTGGCCTCGCTTGTCGATTTCAATTTCAATGTCAATTTCCTCCTCCTCCTCCTCTTCTTTTGCTCGCTCTTCACCAAAGTAATTTTGAACCTCCAGTTCCGTTTCATTTTCACCTAACCTCCAGTTCCGTTTCATTTTCACCAAAGTAATTAATTACCATGGTAATTTTGAACCTCCAGTTCCGTTTCATCTTCACCTAAGTGAGTAATTAATTACCATGGTAATTTTGAACCTCCAGTTCCGTTTCATCTTCACCTAAGTGAGTAATTAATTACCATGGTAATTTTGAACCTCCAGTATCCGAGTATCTTACTATGTCACTGCGGACACCTCCATGGGTAAGAACTTCTGACAGTAGTTACTGTCAGGCACGGGCTGTCAATCATACCGGTACTGAGATACACGTATTACTAGTAAGTATTACCATGGTAATTTTGAACCTCCAGTTCCGTTTCATTTTCACCAAACTGATTAATTACCATGGTAATTGCGCTCCCCTTGTTCCGTTTCGTTTTGATCTAAGTACCATGGTAATTCGGCGATTAATTGCTAGCTCCTTGATGCTCAGTTACCTGCCCGTGCGGCCGACGCCCCTTAGGCTACATGCTTTTCCGTGTCACTCTCTCCTCCGCTTCCGAGATGATCTTCCAAAATCGTGTGCGACTGTTTTGTGCAACTCCTGTTCTGTGCTTGCGTGTGTGTGTGTGTGTGTGTGTGTGTGTGAG